CAGCTTTATAGATCAGACAGGACAAGATTCAATTGCAAGATTTTAATTAGAACATTAAAATTATTTCATAATCTCACATTAGTGTTAAATTGTATTTTAGAAACTTAGTATAAGCTCATATTAATGAATTATTAATTCTTCAATTCTCATTAAATTGCAAAATAAATTTATTTGTTTTAGATTGTAATTTCTTTAATTTGTGAGACAAAAATTTATTTAGTTCTGTAAATATCTCTTGTATAAAGGAAATCAAACTAATTATAAGAAAAGCTATTTCATAGTGACTCAAGCAGCATCTCCACCAATTTGCCATATTTATTAGTTATTGGTTTTTTATCTATATATATAATCTAACATGCCATTTTTTTTTGCTTCAGACACCAACATAAAGAAATTAATTATTGAATTAAAATGTAAGGTTTTATTCTTTGTATTATTATTATTACACCATTAATGTCTAAAAAAAATGGCTATCTTATTAAGAGTCTAATATTATGCACATATTCCATTAATGAGTTCAATAATTGCCATTTTTATAATAGAGATTCCGATCCTTGTTGTTCAGTGCAGCCTACTGACAATTAAATCAATGTTCCACATGATGTTTCTCCATCTTAAAGCTTAATTACATCTATGTTTTATTGCCTCATTTTCAAAATGATATTAGTACTCTATGCTGCGAACATCATTAAAATATTATTGGATAAGATAAAATAGATTCTAAAGTAGCAGAAGTGTGTATTTTTTTATTAAGCGAGAGTAATTCTTATCAAAAACTTCCTTAATAATTCCGTTCTCGTAGGGCTTGACAGAGTTTATCAGATTCAACTCTACTTTAATTTTAAATTTTTGCTGTTCTAAAAAATTCACTTATTGCAATATATAGTAACTTTTTGATGGAGAGGAATACTATTTGATCCATCTACTGATATGAGATAAGATAAATGTTCTTCCTCTTTTCCAATATTTTTTTGACATCGACCATCATCTGCTTATTATATGTCACTACTGAACTGTAAAGTATGGAGGTTTTACCTTCAATATCATCTAAATTAACATACCTATATTTTCTCGCTGTGAAAAGGTTCGTGTAAAAATACTAAGGACACTGTAATTTAGACCAGATTTGAAAATTAGATATGTAACTTTATTTGCTTTGTTTATTAATAAAGGTATGCATAACTAAAAATTAAGCTAGATGGATAAAAGTCTTCATTAATATGTGCATTTTGGACATATTTTTATGCATATCTGCTTTCAATAAGGTTTATATATATTTTGATACAATAATACAACTAAATATGTAACTACTGAATATTCAAAAGATTAATATAAAATTATCTTTATTTTGGCATTAGTTAATGTACATTGTAAATTCTATACGTACTTGGTTGACGCCAAAAGGCCCCTATTAACGGCGATAACATCAATGTGACAAGTATAGGTGTCCAGACTTATGTTTGAAAACAACCATGTCCTCCCATAGA